AGCTTAGGCACATTAAGTCAAGAGTGTATGCTTCTTTTGCACTGCGTAGACAGAGGTCACTTCTTCCAAAGGACAATTCTGGCTCTGTCTCCCTCTGTCTTAGTTTCCTTCATACCTACTTGAAGTAGCGTAAAAGGACAATATAACAAAACTTACTGAAGATGATGCTATTGTTTTGGGTTTAAGAGGAAGAAAAAAAAAGGGGGAGGTGGAGGTTTCCTCCAAGCCATTTGATGTACAACTATAAGGGGAGGTGGAGGTTTCCTCCAAGCCATTTGACGTACAACTATAAGGAGGGGAAAGGGGAAAGGGGAAAAGGGAAAGGGGAAAGGGGAGCTCAGCTTACGTATTTTCAGGAATTTCATCAGTAAAGCTGCCAAGTAACAAAGGGATCAACTTGTGAAAATACGAATATCTGTCTCGTAGGTGCAACAACCATTCTCCAACAACAGTCGTTACAGCATGCCGCACCTACACAGATACAAAAAGACTATTTTAAATATGTCAGGAAAATACCAGAAAAAAAAGTAGCATTGAAGACGTGGTAAAGTGCATCAATAGTCTCAGAAGAAATTACAGGAACCTAGGATTTCCTCACCTGCAGCACACATCTTAAGCAACATGTAAGGTATCGTGCTTCCTCTGGCGCTGCCACTACGGCTTAATCAGTCTTAGACTATTTGCTGCACAAAAGCACATCTCCAAGAGGAAGACAAGATACAGACCTAACTCAGAAAACTCTAAATTCTCACAGTTAATATATCTCTGAGAATGTAAGAAATGTACATTTCTCTGGAATTTGAAGCTTTCCATGCACATCTCCAGAAGTCAGTTTTCTCTGTTCACTATACAGGAAGCCTAAGTTAAAAAATGTGAATGCACCCACTGAAAAATTAACATATTTTAGTTCTGATTAAGTTGCACATTTAAAAATTAATATCATATCATAAGTGTTTGTTAAACATCTGAAAAGGACATAGAATCAAGTCCCATAGAGATTTGACAGAAGAATTTAAGACAGAATTGAAGGCACGCATTAAAATAAAACGGTGCCTACAAACTTGAACAGCCTGCAGAACTAGACAGAAGCTGAAGAGGTCACCAGCCTTGGTTTTGGATAGCTCACAATTGACAAAGTCTGCATGTGACGTATTTACATATCTCAACTGAATGAATGAAAGCTGAAAATTGGGGGGGGGGGGGGGGAGGCGGGAACACCAGAAAACCCACCCCAAAACCGATTTAAAATAAATCCAGGAAATAAAAGAAGGAAAGCACACCTTGGGAATCTCATCAAACAATCTCTGGGCCAGATGTGACAGAACATCATCCACAGACTTTCCATTTCCAAACTGTATCACTGCTCCAGTAGCCTGAATTACATCAACACGAACTCTGTAGTGCTGGTGCGAAATCGTTTGCATTAAGGGTTTGATCAGAGATTCTGACTGCATATGGAAGTGTTCTGTTAGGGCAGAGAGACAGAAACTTCAAACACGCCTTTCTCTATGCAGGTGACAGATCTTGAGCAACATGATCTCTGTAACATTACGAACAGCAGCCTGATTAATGTCCCTGCATTTATGTAGCCTGCAGATTTAACTTTATTCTACGTTAGAGCTGAACACTAGCACACACGCCTCCCCTAGCCTGCTCATCCCACTACTACCTACCTGCTGTAACTCCCCAGCATCCATCCCTGGCACGGTTCTTCTCCAACACATCCCCCAAGCCCTGCAAAATGCACCTCTGAGGCTGTGTGCAACTTCTCATCTCTCTTCCTCTCTCCTGGTCGCACCCCTCTAACC